CACTCCGCAGAGACAAGTCTTTTCTTACGGAACTACAGACGTTGAATTGAGACGTAGCCATTTTTACTGTTATCGCCCCTCCTAGTTATAGTGACGTTCATATTCATTTCCGGGTTCGTCAAACGCGGACAAACAGTTTAATAATATGCGAGTAGGGGACTTGTGGGCTATGTGGGTGTGTTTCTTCCGTTCCTTGGTGAAGCTCCTCACTCTCACCATTTTGGTCGCGATAGTTCTGTCTGCTCTTCGAAATGCAACTGTCAAGGAAGTTACGAAGCCAAGCCCCCTTCCTGCAGAAGAGTACAGGCTCCTCTCCCCCGAAACGTACTCCTATATTTTCAATCAGCCTGACGCTTGTAAGAAGGGAAGTCCCTTCCTGGTGTTTATGGTGCCAGTGGCACCTCTGGATTCGTCGGCAAGGGATGCCATAAGAGAAACGTGGGGTGCTGCAGGTCAGTCCACCATTACACTGTTTTACATGGGGGTGCCTAAGGAAGGACAAGTGAAAAGCATCCAGGACAAGCTGGAGGAGGAGAGCAATAACTATTCAGATGTCATCCAGATGAACTTCTTGGACAGTTATGAGAATCTCACAATCAAAAGCATGATGATAATGAACTGGCTGGCGACCTACTGCCCCAACGCCACCTATGCCATGAAGGTGGATGCCGACATATTTGTGAATGTATTCTTTCTTGTCAGATTACTGAGCAGCTCTCCCAGGAATAATTACATTGCAGGATCGGTGATATCCGATGGCAAGCCAAGGAGAGACCGCAACAGCAAGTGGCACCTGTCAAAGCACCTGTACCCTGAGGACAACTTCCCTTCATATGTGTCAGGTGCTGGGTACGTCTTCTCAATAGACATGGCCGCCAAGGTGTCATGGGCTTCCAGGTTCGTCCGAAGGATCCCGATAGAGGACGCCTACGTGGGATTGTGTCTACACGTGCTTGGTGTACAGCCTGTCCCCTCGAGAAGCTGGCTGGTATTCGGGAGGAACCTCTTTGAAATCCGGAATCTGGACTATGACAGGTGCACTTTTGCCAGACTTGTTCTCGTCAATGGCTTTCAGCCTTCTCGGTTGCGGCAAGTTTGGAAGGATTTCTCACAAGGCTATAAAAGCTGCCGAATTTGAATTAAGTGCTTCAGAGGTGGATCTCTTCTCAGGTTTTGAAACAGCCAAGAGTTTAGAAGCATATGCAGAGACAGTAAATATGGCCTATTTTTATTGCCTCTGTTAAAAACACACTGTCTGCCTCACTTTAGAACCATATCCTTGCTGTCAGGCGGAAACTACCTGTTTCTCATGATGGTCTATT